CCCCCCCCTCCCAAAAAAAATGATAGAGATGCTATCCGGGAAGAAAGAATACACTCCAGTGCCGCACTGCAGAGCTGAAAACATTCCACGTGTTGGTTATGGCGGCCTAATCTAGAGCATGGGATCTTCATTGCACCAAGAAAGGAGCAAGGTCCGGGGACCCCTCAATCACTTGAACTGGCTCATGTACTCCGCAAGCAGTTGATCGAACGGCATAGGCCGTCCCGGAACGGCTCGCTTAGCGGCCATGCTGTGTGCCTTGCAAGATAAGGCGCGAGTGCATGGGTTGCCGTCGGGCTTTGGAACGGCGCACTTGGTTGCGGGGTCGACGAGGTGAATGGGCTCGGACATGCTATCGCGTCCCACGGCTGTTTCCTGCGGGAGAGGCGGGGTTGGCGGAGGCGAAGGGTCCTCTACAGTGGAAGAGAGAGCGGCGGGGATTTTATCGAGTTGAAATGAGGTTGGAACTTAGTAGACACACGTCGTTGAGTCACGTGTCTTGCATGCAGATGCAAGCCTTACGAGTCAATTATAGGCGCGTCGTGCGACGTCAGAGAAGTTAGGCATCAAGACAGTGGAAAAAAGTATCATGCGGGAGGCCCGGCTACGTATTGGCGCATCCAGTGCTAAACAAGTGCTTGACCTCGCCCTCTTTGACCGTAGGCATCTCGTGTTTAGTGTAGTATAAACGCACGTCTTTGTCGTAACCAGGCCATCGTGAAGCTTCCTATTTTGCCTCATCTACCTACCAGTTGTGACCCAGCCCTTCAAGTTGTTTCAAGATGGCGACCTGGCTCCTGATATATCCCCTTGTGAGCTTCAAAGTTTCCATACGGTCAAATTACTAGCTAATATCCCGCTACAGGTCACTCTACTTCTCGTAGGCCTGGCAATGTACGTGAACACTCACCTTTCCCCATTTTCCAGGTGCGACCAGCTCTCTAACTAACCACTATTCCCTCCAGCTACGAGAATGTCAATGCTGCGACCCTATCCCTCCCCATCCCGCCACTGCTGACCATCCTCGCCACCCTCCTTCCGTTCGTCGCCCTGGCCAACATCATCTTCCACCAACATCTAGTTACCCCAGCCAACGTCCCGGCCCGCCAGCGCCTCCTAGCCATCACTCTCCAGGCCCTCCAAGCCATCCTCACCACCGCCCTAGCCACGCTCTTCCTCTCCGACGTCGTGCCCTCCGCCGCGCGCAACTGCCTGCTGTCCACGACCTGGCAGCGCCTCTTTAGCGCCCACGACTCCGAGTCCGTCCGGCGCATCCAGGACGCCCTGGACTGCTGCGGCTTCAACACCGTGCGGGACAGGGCCTGGCCGTTCCCGGGTCAGCCGACGTCGCGGCCGTGCGCGGAGGTGTACGCTCGGACGACGCCTTGTGCTGAGCCGTGGCGTATGGCACTGCAGCGGAATGCTGGATTGGGATTCTGCGTTGTTCTCGGTGTCGGGGTTTTGCAGGTGAGCATTTCGGGGCCCGCGAGATGGCCACGTAGATATTGAGAGGAGGCTAATTGCACGCACGAACGCAGATATCAGCTTTGATCCTACCGGAAATTGTCAACTCCCTGGGGGGTGTGCTAAGAAGGAGAACAGTCGCGCAGAGCACAGGAAATGACCCGGAGAGGACTCGCCTCCTGCAAGGTGCCTCGGAGGTTGTTCACGATGGAGACGGGGATGACTCTGAGTACGATGACGTCGACCGTAACGTGCTGGTCAGCGCCATTAATGGTCGTCAAAACCCTGCTCATGAAGCGGACCAGTCTCAAGATGACTCATGGCGAGGTGGATGGGGAGTCTAGGCTGGCCAAGGGCTCTGCCTTCTAAGCACGACATCGCCCGGACCAGGAGCCATATATCACATTTTACTGTCTCTTGGTCGAGGAGACCATGAAGGTCGAAATAGGAAGGAGGAAATCTGGCACTTGAGAATGGATGTTTTGAAATAAGGTCAGAAATCACAAGTAGGCCCAAACTAAAATTGACGAACCGAGACCCCCCGTCTCGATTATAATCACCAGGAATAGTGCTTTCATCTCTCGTTCATGTGCAAGAAGCATAGCCTTGGCATTTATGCAAAAATACACTCGAGCCACTAACTACCACCGCCAAAAAGTCAAAAAAAGATGATGTTGATAACTGCGCGATTCGAACGCGCGCCTCTTGCGAGACTAGAATACAACCGCTTTGGTAGCGGACAAGAGAGTTTCTTGAGTCTAGCGCCTTAGACCAACTCGGCCAAGTTACCTGTTGCATGCTGCCTACCCACCCTAGGTCAGCTTATTGGTCCCACTCACGATCAATGGTGGAGTCTTCTAGTGTAGATGTGGGTTTTGGAGGTGGAGTGGACTGAGCTGGACAAACGGTAGCCGCCAGACACTCACACGCTACCTGGAAAGTTAGAAGCCTCGGTTGTCTCCAGGGTAGGCTCGGGGGGCACAGGTTCATGGCGAGTTTTCAAGGAGATCGCCAGTTAGTGATGGCGGCAGAGCTATGTTGAATAGTCTCTAAGTTTCAAAAGGTCATGAAGGTGCTCAAGTTATACTAACAGAGCCCAGGTCCAACCAACCCAGTAGCTTTCCGAGATCGCAGGGCTTTCTAGTGAGACACCTTGAAAAGCAAAATCCAACTGTTCATGTCCCAGATCCCCAATCTTGTCGCACACCTCCACCGCAAGATTATGCCCTCAGGGCGGTCTCGGTCTCCGACGGCAGCGGAATCGAAATACCCTCCCAGTTCTCCCTAACCATCCCAAAGACAATTTGATTTAACCAGTTGCGTCCTAGGATTCCCACATCCTAGTTCGCTCATTCTTCCCCCTAGCCACATTCACCCTTCCACATCTGCCAGGTAATATTCGGGTATTAAAACAGAAACTTTCGTCTCAATGCTTCCACCCAACTTCCTAGAAGAATCTAGTGTAGAGCGACAGAGCGACGGCGCTGGGGAATGCTATCCACCAAAGCCCACATAAGGAGGATCGAGTGGAAGGACCTATGTCCCCCAATCTTGGTTAGCGAACCCGGTTCCAGAGTAGGCATGCGAAGGAAGTAGTAACTTACATCGCAGTGAACAAGCCGCCCATGGAAACCTTGCAGAAATCATCCGTCCCAGCCCAGCTACCCCGCCACGTATAGTTCCACACACGCGGCGCCAAGGCTCCCCCTCCAGCGGTGATGCCGATGACGATAATGTGCTGGACAATACGCCAGGCAGGCGACAGGCGAGGAGTCGGCTTCGTGCGCCTCAGGGCAAACGATAGAGAGGCCATCTCGAAGAGATTCTGGATCATAACCCAGATTGCCTGTACACCAAGAATGAAAGAGAAAAAATTAGCCCTTTTCTTTATTTTGCTTCTTGGAAAGGGGGCACGGGCATATATGCAAGCAACGGAACTATGCAATACAATAGGAGCAGAGATGTAAAGATACGTACGGCGATGTAGCCCAGGATCAAAAAGTAGGCGTGCTCGGAAGGTGCCGCGGTCTGGAGGATCACCCCTATCAGGCCCACGAGGCCACCGGTGAAGGCGAAGGTGTGAAGGACGAGTTGCGCGACTGCCGAGCGGCGGGGGGGCGGAGGGCCCGAGTACCGGTGATCCTGGATGGCATAGAAGAGCTGCGCGGCAGCCTCGCCGACGGGGAAATTCCTGCCCATGTCATATTCCCCGGACGGTTGTTGGCCGATGCGGTCTATGCTGCGGTCTATGCTGCTGAGGTCCATGCTGGTGCGGTCCATGTTGGCGCCGCAGTTGTAGCAAGGGGCGCTCCACGTTCATTGCAGATTAGCCGTTCGTACTTTGTGTGATGAGGAGAGCGTTGGGTGGCGTGGGGGGCGCATACATCTTCGGCAACATGGCCTCCGTCTCCATCGTTCCGGATTGTTCAGGCATTATGTATTTCGGGTGTGAGTACGTTCTTAAGACCTGTGTTCGAGGCGCTGCGTGAGACTGATGGTGCACGAGAGCTGGCGGGTTTGAGCTCCCGACGGCTTCTGGGCTATTATACATTGTTTTGGTGGTGTGGGAGGATACGCTCGTCAGTTGCAGGAATTAATTCGGCTGCCTAGAATTTAAGCATGGTCGACGTGTGGTCGTCGCAACCATGCGTGCCAAGCCCTTCCTTCGCTCATGCTGGAACCGCCCTGCTACCCCCGCGACACGCGTCAGACCCAGAAGGATTCTGGCGGAACAACCAATTAGATGACCGGGAACTCCGCGTCCTGCAGGACTTGAGACTTATCATTGCCTTCTGGCCAATGTCCGAGTACTGATGCTCCTCATTCGAGTAGATTCACACTTGTTAGCGCTGCATAAGTCCCATGGTTTAGTCGGGTTTTATCGATTGAGTGCTCGGGTTTTGTATTCGTGTGAGAAGGGACGGCGATGATGTAGTGTGAATATATGAGATCTAGGAGTATTCGTATTTATAAAACGTCTGCCAATGTACCTACGGGCCACGGGTAATTCTGAAACATTGGGTAGGATCGTATTTTCAGTGGGGGGTATCGTACCTCTTGTTGGGGCCGGGCACATTGGATCTCTACATTTACATAAATGCTACCTGTCCTCGCAGCCCGATGCCACTTAGAGTGTGCGCAGTAAGCTAAGCTACATGTAGGTTTTACTTTCGATTGGATATCGTAGTATGCATTGGCCCTGATGGCCGTACTCAACTGCGGGGCTAAGACGAGGGAAGTGTGCCTACATATATCCTTTGGCTGCATGCTTTGATGGTCTTCCGCTAGCTCCTTGATTGCCCGCCTCATCCCCATCGCTCTACGCGAGGACGGATATTATGCCCTCTCGGAAGGATTTAAGCTTCGCTGACGCTTGGGCCCACATTGTTCTCGTCGGGTTTTGCTCTGTTTGTACTTGTTCGAATGCAGAGGCAAGACAAACCCGTCACTCTTTCTCGGTCTTCTTACTTACAGAATCTTTCTTGTTCGGGAGAATCTCCTTTCGAGCAGAGATAGATGGGACCGGGCCGAGGCTCAGCTTCCGGTTCAGTCAGCTCCCCTGTGTGGTGGTACTTCGCACTTTAGACCTCCCTACCATGCCATTCCAATCATGGGAGTCTACAAAACACTGGAGCTCGCGAAAATGATAAATTGACGAATGACTCCCTCCCCGTCCTCGCTATCCAGTCCCTCACTCCCCCACCGTTACAGTTGGGCGCTTAAGCTTCATCGCTGGCGGGTGAATGCACCTACCAACAACAATCAACATGCCCACGATGATCTGACGTGACATAAGCATCACAGGGTTCCAGGGTCTGACAGGTGGGGCTATGCAACCAATAGACCAGCCGTGAACCAGCCCGTGTTGGGCGCTGCTGACAGGCCTCCGGCCGATCTCACTCAAAAATAGCAGCAAGAAATAATTTAATCGTCCTGGTGGCGGCTTTTGTTCCCATCTTAGGCAAGAGCGGGTAGCAGCATAGCCCCCCCAAATGCGCCTGAAGGGCTAAGCTTTCTCACAGCCACATTCACGCACGTGTTAGCGTTGATGAGCATTATATATATATATGCATGAGCTCCTCACCTCTCGCCTTCATCGTGACGCGATGATACCCTATCAAAATATATAACAGCTGACTGACCACTCGTGCATTCCAGGACACCAGTGTAACCACTTTTTGCCATTGTCCTGATCCCGAACTTTCCTCTCAATCCTCCTCTCCCCATTCCTCCCCAACCAGCCAGACCAGACGCTATGACGCAACTACCGCCTCTCGCCCAGCGCACGGGCGTCTTCAATGACTACATCGCGCGCCAGACCGAAGTCCTGGTCGTCGAGGAGAAGCTACTGTCCTTCACCGGCGACAGCTTCAACGTCAAGCTTGCCAGCGGGGCGCCATTCCTCAAGGTACAGGGCAAGAAGATGTCCCTCCGCCAGCGGAAGGAGGTGTCCGACATGTCGGGCAGGCACATCTTCTCGATCCGGAGCAAGGCCTCGGCTCTCCTGCGTCTCACGTTCGTGGCCGAGACTCCGGACGAGAAGCAGGTTTTGGAGGTGAAGTTTTCGATTGGGAAATGTAAGTACTACCCAGCTCCCCTCCACTTCCACCAGCTCACGACTCTACTCCGATCTTCCTTCAGTGGCGTCCAGCTAATTAAATAACCCCGCCCTCGCGATAGTGATCGGGACAAAGGCGTACGTCACCTTCACCTCCGTCTCCGGCAAGGAAGAGAGCTTCACCATGGAGGGCGATTGGCGCACCAAGCGCGCCGAGATCAAGGACGACGCCACCGGCGCCGTTGTTGCCCTCATCAGCCGCGCCACCGACGCGATGCACCTCCTCGGCGGGGTGCAGACCTACACCGTCACCATCGCCCCCAACATGGACATGGCGCTCGTCATGGCCATGTGCATCGCCCTAGACGAGAAGGCAGAGACAAAGTAACGTTTCACGGCGATTAGACCATGGACGGGATGGCCTTAACGGTTGGAGGGGCGTTGGTCAGTGAAATGAGGTTGTTTTGTGCGAGTGGTGATGACGTGGAAATGCGTGCTTGGATGCGTCTACTATACCCCTATATCCTATACCCCTAAAGTTGCACGTATCGTCTTCAATCCTACAGCATTTGCTTTCGAACATTGCCCGGTATGATATTTGTCTTGTACTTGCACAATCTTGCGCTTCAATTTATGCGCGCCAAAATATTATGCTTCCCGCTTTGGCACTGCGGGAGATATACATGTATTGCCATGATGCTCAGCCAACTCCCCGTGGCCGTCCCACATTGTTCCACAGTAGTCACTCCTCATGACTGTCAGACGAGTACCCAGAATGTGCGAATGCACGTCTAACGTCTAAGTCCCACGCTGCCATCTCGCATCCCTATGTAGCCCTCCCCAATCATCTAACAAGTGAACACAGCAGGCCCGGGGTTCTTGTACGACGTCGGAACGGGGTAGTTGATGTTGATCAGGATGCCGGGGTCCGAAGCGGAGTACGCGCCAGGGATGGCCACCTTGTTTGTCGGTTCCGTGCTGCCACCGCCCGTGACGGTGATCTGCGCGCAGGAGATGTAGAACTGGGCGCCACCGGGGGAGCCGGCCGAGTGGAGAGCAATGTGCTCGGCGCGGAGGAGGTAGTCACCAGGGGCAATACAAGCCGGGATGGGGACATCGAAGGATGCCTTGTCTTTACGGGAGGTGTTAGCACACAGACCCTCCAAGCCTCTCTCTACACTGGTTCCCAGTTTGTGCAAAGAATGAGGAAGAGAAAAGGAAAAAGGAAGGGG